CATGAACAGAAACACAAGGATGGGGAACAGTTTATCAAACTCAGGAAAGGGACTGAGTGAAAAATGAAATGAATAAATACAATTTAAACATGAAGGCTAAATTAGAATGTACTTTAAGTAAAAGAGAATTGGTTAGAAATATAACCATGGACACTGAAGAGGGAAATAGCTAAGAAAACTCATAAATAGATTAAAAGGTTGTAAGAAAGCATTGCATAGACAATCCAACATATATTTAACTTGAATGTACTTAAGACTACAAAGTAAGACAATTTTCTAAAAATAAAAAATTTGAATGTATATATTGAAAATACCTACTGTATATACTATTATCAGCTCCACAGCATAGTTCAGGAAAACTCTAAAGACTTTAATGAAAAAAAAATCTTCAGGCAGAAACAACCATGCCACTTATAATAAAAAGAAAATCAGGTTGGGTTCAGATTTCTTGACAGCAATATTAATGCTGGACAACATGGCAGCAACATTTTTGAGAAACTCAAAGTAAGAAATCATAAGCTCAAAGTTCTTATATGAGGCACACAGATTAAAGAAAACCCAGTTAAATCTCAAGAACCCAGAGAATGCTGTGTTCCTGGCCCCTTCCCGACACATGTACTAATGGTTGAGTTTTCCTAATCAAGAGGTGACTGGAGAAGTTGTCAAAAGTTCTGACAATAAGAACAGGGTATATCTGAAAGAGCTGATACTAAAACAGAGATGGAGAAAAAAGAATGGAAGAATTTTATGTAAGTGTTATATTTCACCAAAGTAGAAATCATTCAACTAAGAAAATGAGAGAAGCAGGGAAATAAAAAACATGGGGAAAGCTCATTGACTATACTATAAATAAGTGAGAGTCAGAGAAAGAGAGCTTTCTTCATCCTCCTAGATGACCACCCAGGATAAGACTATCTCAGAAGAAATAATTAATGTTCATCACTACTGTGTAATATTTTATTATAATAATAGATATTTTATTTTTTCTCTTTTCTCTTGTATTTTCTATTATCTTTTCAATTTTTAAATGGTTCCAGTGCCCAAAACTAGCCCCCATTTAATCCCATGCAGATTATATGCCATTCACTTTACACAACACTAACTGATTTGACTCTGGGATTTTCTCCTAACATGTCACTGACTCCACTTTTATTTTAATCAGGTTCAAAAATAGACCATACTTTTCTGAATTTGGAGAGTCACCTACTCTGAGGCAGAAGAGGAAAACTCAAAATAGGAGTTCTTTGAATGCTTGCTTCAATTCCCTGAAGCTTGACTTAGAGATCTACTGGGTGAGCTGAAAGAAATGAGAAAGTCGAGAGAGGAATGATGAAAATCAACAGGCATGAAAATTGGAGTCCGAGAGATGGATGGTAGAGAACCTGGGCCAGGAATCCACATGGCAGGAGTCATATGGAAGCTTCTGGAGGAAACAAGGCTAACCAGCTGTCTTCCTCAGCAACCTGCAATATATGTAGCTTTCATAGCATGTCCGTGTTTGAGCAGGAGGGGCTTTGGAGTGAATGGAGAAAATTATCCAGGGTTGAGCTTAGGCCAAGAGATGTTTTACATAACAGAAAATACTGATATTTTAAACAAACCAGCTCCCTCAAATGTCTTTCTTTTCTTGTTACTCCAATGCCATGTGTAAACATTTCATTCTTTTCTGCTAAATTTTGATGAAGAATCTCTTTAAAGACTGAAAAAGCTTCAAGAAGCTCATGGAGACATTGTGGTTTCTGTGACAGATCATAGTTTAGGGGAAATCCTGCTTCACTTGCTTATATTTACAAGATACATTAGCTTGGAAGCCAAGAACAAGGTTTTAGAGATAATCCTGAGCACTGGCCATTTTGAGGACCTCAGAAAACCTAAGCTAATTTCAGGCATAAATTGGACTCCTGTCACTATTAAATGTAACTGATAGTTAATGTACTAGTAAATGTAACTGGTCGCTTCTTATCTATATATTATTGATGATTGATGGTTGATGGTGACTGCCACATAAGTCTAGCCCCATCAAACCCAGATACCCCTCTGAGTTTATAAAAATTCATCTCTGTCTAGGGACATGTTTGTCACATCAGCCAGTGCCTCCTAGAAGATGTAGGAGAGGTAAATATATTTTCTTCCCTGATACCCATGATTTCCCAACTCAGGGATTAGGCCTTTACCACTAAAATTCACTAATATTCATTAATTCACTAAAAGTCATCAATAACTCATGTTTGTCACATTACTGAACTAATTTTATAAGTTTTTCTACGTTTTCCTTTTTGTTCCTTCTATTTTTTATGCCACCTGTATAGCATACACAGGTGATCAAAATATATAATGAATGTTTAAATATTTTTAAAGTTACAATAAAACACACTGTCATGAATCCCATTCAAAATACTCCCCCTCACTTCAAACACACTTATCGCATCATTCTTACTACTTTCTGAAACAGTTCTGGAAGTCTTCTTTCATGAGCATCTTTACGAGATGGGATCCAAATATACAGTGAATGTTGCTGCTAAGTGCCATCCAATGGAAAAGCAGGCTCATAAAAATATTACAGTGTGCCCTCATCCAGCTTATTCACTATATCTGGTACTGTGGAACTTCTGGTTCTTCCTCAAAGTCAAAATGAAGGAAAACATTTTGAATCAGTTCAGAACATCCAGGCAGCCACAACAGGACAACTATAAAGACCCTCACAAAATAGGATTTCCAGAACTGCTTCAGAAAGTGGCAAGAATGATGGTATAAGTATGTGTGAAGTGGGAGAGAGGAAGTATTTTAGAGGGATTCATGGGCAATGTGTCTTTTACTGTAATTTTTTAAATTTAAGCATTCAAACTATGTTTCTATCAATCGATATTTACACATTAAGATGGTTAAGGAAAGAATATTACTTTCAATTTGATTAGTACATAAAGATTCTATAAGTCATTTGGATACTAGCAAATGGTAATATCTTGTTAAATAAACTTCTTCGTGATTCCCCCTAACTTTTATATCTATGAAGGATCTCTTCTATACATCAACCCATGCCAATCAAAGTAAAGGGGTGTGTGGAGGAATCAAAAATTCTCAAACTCACACTTGAGTCCCCTTGAATGCGCCCCAGGGTCCCCCTCAGGTAGCTCCATATTAGGCTTCCAGAACCTACCTTATGAGCTTTTCCATACTGGAAAGAATGTCTGAGAAACAGACTATAGGGTTTATAAACCATTTCTCTCTTACTTCCCAAAAAGCTAGCTGTTGGTATCTGGACACAAGCTGAGCATTACAGTTATTGTTTTAAATTTTAGATAGATCTTAAAAACCCCTTTGATCTGACTTAAAAACATAAACAGAAGAGCCTTTGGCCAATCTGAATTTGACATGTGTCCTTTGAGTCTGTAAATAATCAAATTTCAACATAGTGTGTCTTACAACCACAACTCCAGACCATGGGGTGAGGCACATTTTTGTTGTAAGAGGATAATTTGCTTTTATTAAGCAATATTTTCCAACAATACAGTCTTCTTTCTGAGGGTCTCAGTATATTCCTTCATCAGCATAAGTACTAATTATTTCTTTTGCTTATCCATCCCCATAATTCTCAACAATAAAGGGACATTTATTTAAATGAAGTTTTTTCCACAAAGAGAAAGGGGGAAAGTGCTTTCAAAGTAACCAAAACCAAAGCTATTCAGGTCTGTTCAATCCATGCCTTCTGGGCAGCATGGCTTCTTAGTGCAGTGTGATTAGTAGAATCGCTTCACCATGGAGACCTGAGGTTAGCACTGTCTGGACGTCATCCTCACAGAAAGCACAAGGCCCAGAAAAAGAGAGGATGATGGAGGAAGCAAGAAAATATTTACTTTCAACCTTTTAAGTTAAGGAACACAAGCCAGCAAGCTTACTTTCTTGGGTCTTTTGGCCTCTGGATATGTAAGGCCTGGAGCCCCAAGGAGTTTATAACCTTGAGACCAAGCTTCCCAGAGCAACAGTCATTTCTGAACTTACAGGGTGAAATGTATTTAAAACCCTTCCCCAGAGTGAGCTGCAAAAGTTGGAGGTTGTTTCACTGTCAGGGTCAATTTGTATTTAAGAGAGTGCAGAAGATGGGGTCTTTGCCCATGGGGCTTCCTAGGAAAGAGAGAATTGACCTATTTTTAAGGGAAATGAATTCCAGAACTCAGTCTCTGTGGCCCATTCCCTATCCATATCTATTTTCTGTTCTTCCAGTGGAAGAGAGAATGTTTTGCAAATCACTTCTGCTAACAATTTTCCCCCTGACAAGAAACTGCCAGGATCTGTGGGTCCCTGACCCATGTCATTCACTTTTACCAGGCAAAGATCCTCATGGAATTTCAAAGCCAAAAGTTAAATGCCAAATGCAATTTGCACAGGGTATTGACTTGCTAACATAGCAATATTAGCTCCTCTTATTCCAATACTAATAGTATTAACTTTTAAAATGTTTATGTCTTCCTCAAATAACTATTAATACAGAATAACCACTTGACATAACCTGGATGGAGAACACTCAAGCTTTTGTTTTTTCAGAAATTCTGAAACAGGCTTTTCCATAAAAGCTCCTTCGTAAGTCTTCTACAAAGCTTGTATCTTGAAAACTTAAAAAAAAGGGAACCAAGACATACATATATCTCCACTTGCAGCCAAATCACAATTACAGAAAGCCTTATTCTAAATAACACAGAAGTGGCTATACCGTGGAGAAATTAGAACTACATCAACCTGCCCCAAGTGTATTCATACAGTAGATTTTATGAAGTAGATATGTCAATTCTAGACACCAGTCTAGAATAAAGAATGCAGTATGAATACTTATTTCATATTACAAACAAGACATGTCATAATCCTTCCCAAATGCTGAAGATCTATTTTGATAAAAGTTGTATGAAAATTTTTTACCTTTCTCTGTTCTTTCAGTAGCCACCAATTTTGCTTTTGTTTAGGTTTTTTCAGACAGGATCTTTTTTTTTTTTTTTTTGGTACTGGGGAATCGAACTCGGTACCTTGTGCTTTCGAGGCAGGCACCGGAACCACTGACCTAAATCCATGGCCCTCAGACACGATTTTGCTACATTTTAGGCTGGTGTAGACTCACAGTTCTCCTGCTTTAACCTCCCAAGTGCTGGGATTATAGGCATGCCCCACCAAGCTTGGCAATTAGCCACCAAAATTTGTAACAAGTATAGAAATATCTTGCAGAGAAGGTAAATTGCTATATTTTTCTAGAAATCTTCACAGTGTTTTCATTAAATCAGATTCATCTGAAATCACCTTTGTGTTCCTGCTGTCTTATTTCTACATGCACAAGAGAAAAACAGTGACCATCTCTAATCATTCCTCACACAATACAAATAGCACTTAATATCAGCTGGAACCCAGTGTAAAGAAATGTCTGAAATGTATGCTTCTGTTGTTTCCAGTATTACATTCTTAGCACAAAGGGTCAGATTCCACAGAAGACATAAGGACTTTTTGAACTGTTGAAGGAATCAAGTTTGCCTCTGGAATCTAGTACCTCTCCTGTGGCTCTCTACTAAATGGCTCAACAAGCCAGGTGAACATGGGGCTTCTTACCTGTACCCCAGCAAAGAGATTGGTGTGGTCCATTTTCTTATTTTGGTTCTTAAATGGCAAAGCTGGGTTTAGGGGGAAAAAAGAAGGAAAAGAAACAAAGGTACGAGCTCAACAGGACATGTTTATTTCGGAACAAACCAGAAAGGGACCTTTCTCACACTGAGACCAGACTTGATCCTCTTGTACAGGGTACAGGGTCTTTTAGAGGGTCATGGGATTGGGGAGAAGTTCAGTGAAAGGAGGTTGTGACTACCTGCCAAGAACAAGGCTTGAGAAAACACAAGAGGTAATGGTTTCCCAAGGATGAGGCTTGAGAAAATGCTGGGAGTAGTGGTTGCTGTCAATAGCAGGACTGATAATAATATGAGTGACTGAGTATAGCTGTAATGGGAGGGGGAGCTTAGTGTGGTTTTTGATCAACCTAGGATGTGGTGGTCATATTCCTTCGTTCCAGACACTATGGATAGATAGGGAAAACAGGCAGCACATTTCTTCCTTACCTACTTCCTGTTGAATAGGGGTGGTGATGATCAGAATTTCATCTGGACTAAAGGAAGAGGATCTTATTGTTATGGCCTTTGGCAACTGCTGGTGAAATAGCCACAATCTTCTTGGTGAAAAAAATCTTTGCAATAGATTGATTAGACATGGCAATAATAAACAGGTGAGTAAAAAGAGAAGAATAGGCACTGTAAAGGGAAGAATCCAAGATAAGATAGTGGTCTTTCATGAACCCCATGAATTCTGTGAGGCATCCTGAAACATTTGATATACTGCCTGAACCTCCTGTGTTTATCTCCTATTATCATGATTATCTGGGATGAAAGTACAACGTGTCATATGAAGCATGGCACATGTGCCCCTTGGGCAGTCTGTGCAGGGGCAATGGATCCAAAGCACTTTTATCATTGGTTCCATCTGCATGCTCATTAGGAGTTTGGCAGCACCTAGGTGAGAATAAACAATCTTTACCAAGATGTTAAAGTATTCATAACCAAAGCATAAGCATCAAAATGGAAAGACAAATTGGCAAAAGAGCCACATTAAGACACTGCCCTTAAGGGACTGGAATAGCAATTATAGCCAGTTGGTTTCTAGACCTGTATACAGGTGTACCTAGAAACTGTTAGCAGGGGTCAGTGATTGGAGCCCCCCTTTTGTGTTTTGACTACATTACTCTTACTTTAATATCTTTTTGGTTAAACTTTTCTGTTGAATGTTCAAGATCAAGTTAAAGTGATACCTGTGTTAATCAAAATTAACCTCTTGCTATTTATCAAGGTCAGTTAAGGCTCCTCAGGTATTACTTTTGGAACTATATGCAGAGCCTCTCAGCTCCTCTGTCACAGCTGCCAGGATGAGTCACAGCCTTTCTTACCATTTGGCTTCCTGTGGAAGCAAGGGAGATGTTTTTCTCTCTGGTGACTCTTTTTTTTTTAGCACACTGCACATTGGTTTACTCCTATTCTTGAAGGTCTAAAAATTTTCCTGTTCAGGAGTTTGGGGGACTCACCAAAGTTGTAGTATCCTGGAGAAAAGTTCTCCCCATGTCCTGGGTCCTTGTTGACCTTGGAGGACCAGGGCCAAAATATTGGCTATCCTCTTAGTCCAGTTATCTTTTTAACCCTGGTCTTCAAAACTCAGTTGTTAAACGTCCTGGAGATCAGTTATCTTATCTAGATATGAAGCACCTTGAAATACACAGCATGCCCAGGGAACTGTAATTTCCTTACCAATCATGGTTGTCTTAGAAGTTGAATACCTGCAAAATGTTAACAAGTAACAATTAAAAAACCTCACTGAGAAATCTTGAGGTGAAGGGAAATATAACATTTCAGCATAACGATCATGATGACTTTATTATATTAAATGACATGAAGAAATTTTATCTATATTTGTCATCCTTCAATAGAGTGCATCTAAAAAGAATGCATCTGTCCATAGATGCACCTTGTGTGACACTGAGTAGACTCTACTGTGTATGAGCATCTTCCTTCTTTCTTAAAGAAAGAATAGCTGGGCTCTTTCCCAAGGGTGGCTGATAATTTCAGCAGGGTTTTGAGGACAGTCAGGCCTCTTCCTCCTCTACAGGAGAATACAGGACCTCTTTGATCTTACCTGTTATATTTTTTGTGCATAAGCCACTTTACCTCTTTTTATTTTCTTTTGCTAAACAGGTCTAATTGGCATATGGTATTGTAATTTAGAGCCTCCTTGTCATTTTTCCAGTGGTCTATGTGTAACTTCTTTCTGTCTGTTTATTTGTTCTTAATCAGGCCTCATCTCCAGGGTTGGGCAGAGAAATTTTGGTGGGGGAAGGGGAGAGAGAGAGAGAGAGAGAGAGAGGAGAGCAAAGAAAATTTAGGCATAAGAGACCTCCTGACATTTTCCTGCAGGTAGTTATCAAGGTTGTGAGGAATTTGGAAATCAAATGTGCCAAATTTAGGCCACTGGCTGAATAAAATATGAAATGTTTAGGCCAAATAACTCCTTTTAAACTGAGGGTCAAGAGATTTTTTATAATGCAACCCAAAGGGTATCTGCAACCCTGCTCCAATTTCTCCAGAAGTCCACCACAGAGCTTTACCCTGCAGGACACCCTGGGGGTCTGGAATTCTTTACATGGCCAGGCTATGTCATAGAAGGTTTTTCTGGGCATTTGGGTAGAAATCCCAAAGGGGTATCTACCAGAATTTGGGAAATTTAGAAGCCCATAGTAACTGATAAGAGAACATCTGGGAGTCCACAGCCTTGTGCTGGACCATCCCCCAAACAGGACTAGCGACCCAGAGTTCTCTACATGGTTCAACCACATCAAAGAAGGCTTTTCTGAGAGATTTAGCAGGTGTCCCTCCTGCAATTTCTGTGAAAATCTACTGCAGAACTTGGCCCTAGGGGACCTGCCACCTCCCCAGGTCTGGGACAACAAACCTACACTTCCCAGGCACATGGGGAAGGCAAGGACTTCTCTTACCAGTCCTAGGCTGGATAATGAAGTATTCAGTGTTGAGTGGAAGGTTATCAGGAAACACCAAATGAGCTCCTGGAGCTCATAAGGAAGAGGGAGGGAAAGGAAGCTCACAAATGGAAGAAGTGGGGGATACTGGAATAGTCCCCTCAACCTACTTGCCCATATGGGCCACCATAATGTTAGGAAAAGGGGAGAAAAAGAAACAAAGGTATAAGCTCAGCAGAACACTTTTATTCAAAAAAAAACCTGAGAAGGACTGCTCTGGCACTGAGACCAGACCGGATTCTGCCCTACAGGCTATGGAGTCTTTTATGAGGTCATGTGGGGAGGAGGAAGAGGGGAATTCAGTGAAAGAGGGTTGTGCCAAGAACAAGGCTTGAGAAAGGGTAATGATTGCCCAAGGATGAGGACTGGGAATGTTCAGGAAATAGTGATTGCTGTCAATAGCAGGGCTGATAGTAATATGAGTCACTGAGTGCAGCTGTGCTGGGGGGTGAACAGGGCTAGAGTGGTCTCTGATCAGCCTAGGATGCAGTCATCATATTCTTTCACTGATCACTATTGGCTCCCAACCAGCTGTCTGGCTTACTTTACCAAATATCAATTTCTGCCTCTCGAAGATAAGGGGATCAAATCACATGATCATTAAAAATGCTCTATAACTGGTGGTCTGTGTTTATTTAGACAACTGTGAGGTACCTGTGATTAACTGATTCTTAATAAGGACAAGATAAAATTAACTAAATCTATTCTATATGAAATCATCTTAGAGATACTACTGAAATATTTTTCCAAGTATTTCCAGTATTACAATAGTAAGCAGAATTAACTCATTAACTGTTATACAAAAACTGATAACATGGAAACATGCAAAATTCAAAAGGGTTACCTAGAAACTAGATCTAGAGATGTCATTGGAAATGTATCATTTGACTCAAGGATTTATTCCATCCTGAAATAAAAATACCACTATGAGAAATGACAATTTCTTTTCCTTAGAATGAATAAGCTTAATGGTTTGTTTTCTAAGAGAAGCTTTGCAGAGGTAAAAATCAAGAGAGAACTTCCTGGTAAGAGATAAATTTCATGGGGGGAAAGTATGAAGTATAAACCAGAAAGACCTGTAGCAAACCTGATTCTCTCTGAGGCTGATTTGAATTATAGAAAAAAATCAAAATCTTTTTTTTCAACTGAATTATCATTTTGTCAATAGAGAAGGAACATTAATAGGCAGCTTCTGGGTCAACTACAATCTAGTTGACCCTAGGTTAAGGGGTGCAGAGATTCTTAGCAAAATGTTTTCTTATCTAATTAGCTGGCATACATGAACTAATTAGGGTCTTACCCCCTGCCAGCTGGAAACTTGGGAAGTTCGGTCTACACATGGAAAATCTGATTTCATGTTCAAAGGTTGTGACACCTGCAATGAATAGGGGAAGAGAGGGACTTACTCAAGTCTAAAGAGAAAGCTGGTGTTCCCAGTTTCCATTACATCATTCATTAATAGGGTTGTGCTGCAGGCTCCCCGTGTCATGTTCCCTGCATGATGGAATGGAGCAAGTGATTAGACAGTGAGTTAAGGGGTGCATAAGTGCTTGGCAATAGCTTTAAATGTTTATGGAGTGTTTAGAAGACTGACTCCAAGGCAGAAGCAAATGACTGCAGCCACATGGATGAAACACAAAACCACTGAACCGATCAGCAGAGCTGCTATCTTAGATGAAGGACTTTTTTTTTTTTTTTTTAGTGGAAAGGCTCTAAGCTTCTCTGTGAAAGACTTATAGATGGGATATCAAGTTACACAATGTAGGCACCAGAGTTCAGATATTCAGTTGAAAACAATCCATATCTGCCTTCTAACTCTGCATTCTAACTGCATGACCTTGGCTAAGTTCACTTACCTAGTTTCAATTTCATATGGTTAACCTGAGGCTGTGTTGAGAGCATGTTTATTTTTTCTTTTTACTAATTTCATCATCTTTGCAAAAATTTTCATGCTTTTTAAATATAGTCAAGCAATCTAGAAAGCTTCAAAAGACAAATGACAAATCACCAAATCCCTAACATACAGAAAAATCTGTTAAAACTTAGTAAACAAACAAACAAACAAACAAAAAACTTAGTAAACATTCTTCAAGATCTCGTTCAAGGTTAGATGGATGGATGAATAGATGAAAGGGTGGATGCACAGATGGCCACATCACATGTTATTTTTATGTCTGTGATATTTAATTTAATTCCCTCAAATTTAGCAGAAAAAGGAAATTAAAATGACATTAAAGGAATTGCTGAGCATTAATTTGAAAACAAAATTATAAAATCAAGCTGTATATTTAAAAGATTTGTATGAACAGACATCCATGTAATACAACAAAGTTTAAGAAATTTTAAAACTCCCTATTGTTTTTCCTGGATTTCATTCCCTTCACCTCCATTACTTTTGCAATAATCATTCCCTTGCTTTATTTAGTATTTTTCCTGTAACAGAAGGCATTCCTAAACACTATTTGTTTAGATTTACCTCATTTGAATATTATACACAAGAAGCCGCAATATATTCATTAGTCTGTGGCTTGCTTCTTTTGCTCAAGATTATACATCTAAGATTTGTTTGTGTTTATAGAAATAGTTGCACTGCACTCATTTGTAGTATTGTATATTATTCTATTACTATATGAGCAAGCTACAATTTATTTATCCATTACTTTTATAATGGACATTTGGGTTTCCAGTTTTTAGTTAACAGAAATCAGGCTTCCATGGATATTTTAAGCTATGTTTGGTGTACATGTGCAAGAAAGTCTGGGGTATATACTGTGGAGTAGAATTGCTAGGTTGTACACTATGTAAACATTTCACATTTTTAAGGTAAAATCAACCTTCTGTTATATATTCATTAGTTATATGTTTCATGTTATATATTTATTGATTATGTGTTTCCTCTTTTGTTAATAGCTTATTCAAATGTAAAATATTTGATCACAAAATATTGTCTACTTTTGTATTTGGTTGTGGGTATTTATATAAAATAGATTTATAAGAGATAGAAACAAATGATTGGCAGATACTTATTGATTTATAGATACATACCTTTTAAATATTAATTTTCCAATTAACATCATCTTGTCTTTTCAAATCAATCTATAATTTCCTCTGTGATTCTAAAGGTAAGCCTATTAGCTACTGCTGTATAACAAATTACTCCAAAACCTAGCAAATTAAAACTACAAACATTTATTTTTTCCCAGTATCTGTGGGCCAGCATTTAGCTGCACTCCCTGCTTTACAGACTCTCAAAAAAGCATCAATCAAAAAAAAAAGCATCAATCAACATATCATCTCAGAGTGGTGGTTTCATCTTAAAGCTCAAACTGGGGAAGAATCACAACCAACCTTCCACAGTGGGGTTTTGAGATAGAAGATAGGCATGGCTGAGCTTGGCTGGGAAAGGCAAGCATAGCTGTATGCCAGAATCTACACAGCTCCACCTCTCAGGTGTATGTAGAACCTCTCCCTGTATGTAGAACTTCTTGTGGGGTCCCATGAGATGTGGAAGTCATAAAAAAGACTGGGTGCCATGAGGAACCCACAACTGTGACTCTTCACAGTAGCCCAGCCTGAGTCTCCCAAACCCAGGTTGAATAGTGCTACCTCAGTTCATGAACTTCATTCTTTCCACAATTCTGGTTGCAAACTGAATTGGTTGAGAACAAATTCAAATTTCTCGATAAAGTCAACATTAAACCTACCCATTGAATTTGATTCAGTTCTCAACCAATTCAGTTTGCAACCAGAATTGTGGAAAGAATGAAGTTTGTGTACTGAGGTACCACTGTACTTTTATAGTTTTGCTTTTTCTCTTTTCCTCTTTTGTTCAGCCCAAGTTTTCTCTGCAAGACCAGTTTCTCCTTTATGTCTTCACCCTCCACTTTTCAAATAAATTTTTGGCATCATTTTTGGCTTTTTTCTCTCAATTCTTTGTTCGAGGGATGAAGAACCTGGAATACATCTGACTGGTGAGCCATTTCTAAAATAACAAGTTACTTGAAGACTATTATTCAATTACTTACAGTTTCAGGTCCTTACTTGCTGTGAAATGTAGATTTATTCCACATGCAGCTTCCTTCATCAAAGCAAGAAATCTAAAAAGAGAACAAGAGGATAACTGCAAGATGAAAGCCAGAGTTTTTAATAACTGAAACTCGGCAGAGGAGGTGAACTTTCTGGGCCACCATACCACTGCCCCAGCGCCAAGGAGGTGAGCCACAGGGGTGCCAGCAGCATACATTCTCCCCAAGCCCCCGTTGAAATGAGAAGACAAATAAACAAGACTCAAAACCAGACTTCCAGATCACCTAAAGCAATCCCAAAGGGAAATGAGATGGAACAATCTGATATTCAACCACCTGGACTCCCTGAACTAGGAAAAAAAGAGGATCTGGAAAATTGAAATCAAAATAATTTCTCAGATAACACCAGAGATTGTGCCCATAGTGCAAGACATGATGAATAAATCTAGAGAGGATACAGATAAAAAAATAGAAGAGCTGAAGAACATGATGGAATCCCAACATAGGAAACAAATTGAATCCATAAAACAGATGCAAACAGATCTCCAGGAGATTAAAAACTCCATTGAAAATTTAAGCAGCAGAATGAGCCAATGTGAGGACAGACTTTCAGATATAGAAGATAAGATTGAAATCAATGACCAGGAAAAGAAAAATTTCTTTAAAATAATAAGGGACCAAGAGACATCAATCCAGCAGCTGCTAGACTATACAAAGAAGAATAACATAAGACTGGTTGGAGTCAATGAAGAAAAAGGAGAGAGTGCAGATGACATTAAAAAAGCTATTCATAGAAGTCATGGAAGAAAACTTCCCAAGCAAGGGAAAATAACTTGCCAAACAGATAAGGGAGGCATATAGGACTCCAACTAGCCTTGATCAAAAAAAATCTATACATAGGCATTTAATAGTTAAGATTCCAGAAACCCAAAAGAAGAACAGAGTTCTACAAGCAGTTAGAGAAAAGAAACAAATCACATACAAAGGAAAGCCCATCAGAATCACAGCAGACTTCTCAACACAAACC